TGTTACATCTCTCTACACTGACACACCAGGAGCGGCGCTGGTGAGAAACATACGTCCCACTGTCCACCTGTCCTGCCTCGCACAGTCCCATCTCCAGGGCTGGCAGTAACACCCTACCACCCACCCTCACCCTGGTTTCTGTCTCCCAGTATCTGGGGATGGTGGGTAGGGGTGTGAGGGTGGAGGAGGATGGAGGAAGGGGGATGGGGGAGCTACAGGTTCCCCAGTACCTCCGTAGTCTGTTCTGCCCCTCATCCCGTGTGTCGGGCGGCGAGCTGACTAGCAGACCGTCTGTAGTTACGTGGCACCAGTCTGTGTTGGCCCGAGCCGCGTCCAGGTGGAGTTTAGGACCTGGAAATAAACATTGTATTTGTTGTGTAGCAAGTTTATTTCACTGTTTGTCACAAACTGAGACACAGAAAGATCTTTACTAAAATATCGGCTGATTGTGGATTGTTTCCAAACAGTGCGCTGAATGTCCGTCTGTGTTTTTCATCCGTGTAGAATATCTCTCACTACTGAGCTATATTAGCGCGCTAATTATTACGTAAAAATATTACTACGAGAATTCAAAATGCATTTCATTAAGAAACAAGTGGATTAGTTTACAGAAAAACGTAATATAAAAGAATATTTAGTACACTTCTGATTTACCCCATTGTTGTGATATCTGACAGACGTGGACGATGTTCGGGAGTAAAATACGATCACAGTAAGTGAATATAAACAAATAAACTTAACAGTATCGTGTTTTAGAGTAGTTTTGACATTTCTGTGTTCATCACACACCACATGAACAGGTAACTTCTATGTCCGCTTTAGTCACTTTCACAGTTACACCGTCAGTCAGTGTGTCCCGACATGTTTACAAACGCTGGTCAGAGATGGATGTCCAAACTTTGTCAACTTTCTACGTTATTTAAGTGTTGAAAGAAGCAGTTCTATGGTTTTATAATTGTACTGACATCAGTAATGGTTTGGAGATTCAGTTAACCGACAGATGCGTTTTACAGCAATGAAGACGGTTGAGGAAATAGCACACAATGTTTTACTTCGTTCTGTTGTTTGAACATTTCACTGGAATCCAAGTATGTACTTTGTTATACTATGGCCCAGGTGCTTATTATGCAGAAAGTACAATTGTTACAGGTAACGTGACTGTTTCATGAATTAACAATGCTGTTCAGAAAGTAGTCAATGCTTTCACAGTAAAGTGCAGAGGAAATAGCACACAATGTTTTACTTCGTTCTGTTGTTTGAACAATATATTGAACCCAATATATTTGAAATATATTTTACATGAACTGGTTACAACTATGTCCACTCTTTCACTGATAGACGGTCACAGTCTCGTTGAGCGAGTTGAGGTCGCGCACTGCGCGCGCGCGCGCGCGTGTGCGTGTGTTTGGTTTGCCGATGGTATTACACACCATCACAAGTGATGTTTATCACATTCACGCTTGTTTTAATCTCGTAGACAAAACAGACTCGACTTTGCGAGCGAGCGCGTTTAGTTTTTCGCCACTTTTAGCAATATTCCAGCAATATTACGACGGGGGGACACCAGAAATGGGCTTCACACTTGTACCCATATGGGGAGTCGAACCCGAGTCTTCAGTGTGACAAGCGAACGCTTTAACCACTAGGCTTCCCACCAGACCTGACTTTGACTTGAGGCCCGACCGCGACTAGAGCACCCGATTTTCGTTATTAGTTATTTGGTCTATATAATCTATCTTTTGAACCATGCCTTGTCTATGAACATCATCGATATTTATTTATCTGCTGATGATACACCTTTACTGAACATTATTGTTTTAGAAAAGTAAAAATGTGCGAATTTAGAATCATCAGCACCGACACTAAGTCTTTTAATTTGTTCAAAGTGAAAAAGTACCTGGTACCAGTAGAACAGTTCTCCTCACTCCAGGGAACTAACATGAAGTGGATACATAAACCACATGCAGGAATGCCCTCGCTGTTTAAGAATATATTTTCCTAACCTGTGGCACGACAATTAACAAGTTCTTTTTTTCTAGAATTCTCATTTCTGAAAATAGTCGAAGTGGGTGGACATCAACGCAAACTAATTGCGAACTAACGACTTAAATGTCTGGGCAAAACATTTCGAGAAATTATCGATTACTACGTACAGAAGACTCTGTTTGAGAATAAAGATGTGAGCTGTCTCCCAAAGTTGCAGATTGGCTGTTCCTTGGTGGAATAAGCAGTATGAGCTATCTATTACCTATAAAACTGAACTTGTTTCAGAACATGTGCAAATACGCATGCACAGTTTTAGAAAACCTTCTAGAATAACAATCTACTGGGGTTTACACTACGTATCCTTCTCATCTAGCAGGCACGTACTTCTTCAAATCTTTGGTAATGATGGGGAGGTTCAAGGCCGGAAACTAAATTCGCGACGTTTCTCGGTTGAATGAGCGAAGCCTTGGCGGTACTTGCAATACAATGTCATGTCTGAATGAACATAGCCGTCTCACTCAGAGGCTCACACAAATTACAAGTAAAACAGGATCAACGTAAATACTCTCTAATTTGGGAACGTATAAAAATAGCAATAAACTTATTTACACCTTTTCAGGTCTATTCCTCACATACTTTTTCTTTAATTCGACATCAAATTATCATTCCCATATTGACACTATATAAACCCGTTGTAGGTTTCCATCACAATAACAGACTACTGTCAATGTACTTCAAGATAACGAAAGTTTGAGCAGTTCGGACACGTGGAAATGTACCTAAAATACTGCGTTGGGATCTATTGAGTAACGCTGTAACCACTAGACTACCCCACCGCCCCGACATTTGTAATCTGCGCCAGAATCGGAGTATTTCAAACCTTTGCTTTGTTATCACGGAGGTCTAGGCCATATCACCACGGGCAGCCTAATTTTGGGTTTCCATGCCAACTGCTAAGTAAAATCTACAGGCTCGATTCTGTACAGCATTGATACAATTGAATTCTTTAGTGCCCCAAATTGCCGACCCATATGATAAGACAGGCTCAACGAGATTCTCATACAAAGAATTAAAAACATTATAAACAAAACCACCCGCTGCTCTGAATTTACAAATTATAACACTAAGTGTTCTATTTGCAAATTTTAGCTGATTCCCCTTAGGTAAAATTTAAATCTAAATCTTCTTGCAACCAGACACCTTAGTATTTATAAGCATGGGTATTCATTGAAGATAAATAGCTCTAAAATAATCTGTACACGCTACTAAATAAAATTCACTCTTTATAACAATGTTTTTAGCAGAAATTACCCTATCCATAGATCTATCTATTCCCGACATGGATTATGCTTCACTGTAATTATTTACCCTATCTTTAGCCATGGTGGTACTCCCCTACACTCTGAGAAATGAGCTCCCCCGGGATATCCGAAATATAAATTTTGCCTTCGCGGCACGACAGCGATGAGACCAGGTATGACACACATACACTCTGCTGCAGTGATTAAAGCTCGGAAACTACGTCTCGCCTCGGTGGATGATGAAGACCGGTTATCCTCTAGCCTTCATATTTTGTATTTACTTCTACTGGGTTGATGTAACTGTTGGTGGGCTGACGTCCTCTTATGTCCATCTGAATCGGTGTATCGGTTGGATACTGGAGACTGGTTATTGTCTGGTGTTGTCTTAAATTATCTGTTTTGTTTTATTTGACGTCTTAACCAACATTTGAAAATGTTAAATTAAAGGTTAGCTTTCTGACCATTGTAAAGTTTCGACATATATGTTTTATCTATAGTGTGATGTAACTGTTTGATGTAATAACTTAATAGACTTGAATCGGATGATAAAGGTGACCTGGGCCTAGATTTTCGAAGCTCTCTTAGCGCTAAGATAGTCGTAAGTTAATGTTAAGGTACGGCCCTTACGACTATCTTAGCGCGAAGAGAGCTTCGAAAATCTAGGCCCTGATCATTAGCAACCACGATATCTTTCTTGATTCACTGTTCTGTTGTTTAAAGAACGTTCAGTCATCCCATCACTTGTTCTCGGAAATACTTACATGAAACCAGAAGAGGTCGACGTGTCAGGCCAACAACGTGTACACTGCTTCCATAATCTGAAAGGTGAGAGTCAACCCCGGGAAGATCCGGGAAGAATCATTGATCCAGGCAACCATGCCTTGTCAAGGAGACTAACGGACCAAGGACCAACCGGAGATCACCGGAACTGACCAGACCTCGACAGAAAGAAAAGAACAACCAACCGGAAGAACAAAGGAACTGAAACCCAGAACACAACTTGACTGGCCACAAACACACACAAGGAACGGACATGAATGAATGGACAAACACTTGATGATCCCAACTCCCACAACGCACACAGGCACAGGAGGACAGGAAGGAGGAGGAGGACCAAACAAACGGAGGTGGCAGGACCGACACAACAGTGGAGGCAGGTGGAGGTGGTCCAGAGGCAGGCTGGAAGGAAGGACAAAGGAGTGGAATGGAAGGAGGAGGAATGGAGAAAATAGGAAGGAGTGGTGGAGGCTGGAGGGACAAAAGAGGGAAGTGGAGGTGGACACAAAGAGGCACACAAGGAGGCAGGCTGGACAGGACACTGGAGGACAACGGACAGCCACAAGGAAAAGGTGACCACAACCTGCAGGCAGACAGGCAGGGACACGAGACACAGGCATGGACAGGGACAAAGGCACTTGGAGGCAGGTGAAGGACAAGAGTGGAGGAAGGGGAGGTGGAGGGTGGAGGGTGGTGAACTAGGTGGAAAGATGTGGAGGAAGGAAGGGGAGGGAGTGGAGGACAGGGAGGAAGAGGGGAGTGGAGGGACAGGACAACAAAGAATGGTTGGAATGGACAGGAAATGAATGGAATGGAATGCCGAAGGAAGGAATGGAGGATGGAATAGAGAAAAGGACAAACATTGCATATATCTTAGTTTATCTCATTGGACACAGGAATGGATTCCTGTTGAAAGAATGGATCCTGGAGCTCTTGTTATTGTCTTTGCTCTGCTAATGGCCAAAAAAGATAAAATAAAATAAAGTATTGAGGGTCATATATTATTATATTTGTAAAGCTGTCCAATGTACATTGCTTATGCTGCAATTATCCTGATATACAAAAACGTTAGTTGAAGATAATACCTCGTGTACAAACACATAAGATAGCTTTATAGAGATGGGATGACTATATGTATTAGTTGAAGGTAATGCCTCGTGTACAAGCACATCAGATAGCTTTATAGAGATGGGATAACTGAATGTATTAGTTGAAGATAATACTACGTGTAAAAGCACAGATTTAGAAAGGCGGGATATCGGAATGTGTTAGTTGAAGATAACGCCTCGTGTAGAAGCACATAAGACAGCTTTATAGAGATGGGATAACTATATGTATTAGTTGAAGATAATACCTCGTGTACAAACACATGAGATAGCTTTATAGAGATGGGATAACTATATGTATTAGTTGAAGATAATGCCTCGTGTACAAGTACATAAGATAGCTTTATAGAGATGGGATAACTATATGTATTAGTTGAAGATAACGCCTCGTGTACAAGCACATAAGATAGCTTTATAGAGATGGGATAACTGAATGTATTAGTTGAAGATAACGCCTCGTGTACAAACACATAAGATAGCTTTATAGAGATGGGATAACCATATGTATTAGTTGAAGATAATGCCTCGTGTACAAGCACATAAGATAGCATTATAGAGATGGGATAACTGAATGTATTAGTTGAAGATAACGCCTCGTGTACAAGCACATAAGACAGATTTATAGAGATTGGATAACTATATGTATTAGTTGAAGATAATGCCTCGTGTACAAGCACATAAGATAGCTTTATAGAGATGGGATAACTATATGTATTAGTTGAAGGCTATACCTCGTGTACAAACACATAAGATAGCTTTATAGAGATGGGATAACTGAATGTATTATTTGAAGATAATACCTCGTGTACAAGCACATAAGATAGCTTTATAGAGATGGGATAACTATATGTATTAGTTGAAGATAACGCCTCGTGTACAAGTACATAAGATAGCTTTATAGAGATGGGATAACTATATGTATTAGTTGAAGGTAATGCCTCGTGTACAAACACATAAGATAGCGTTATAGAGATGGGATAACTGAATGTATTAGTTGAAGATAATGCCTCGTGTACAAGTACATCACATAGCTTTATAGAGATGGGATAACTATATGTATTAGTTGAAGATAACGCCTCGTGTACAAGCACATAAGATAGCTTTATAGAGATGGGATAACTGAATGTATTAGTTGAAGATAACGCCTCGTGTACAAACACATAAGATAGCTTTATAGAGATGGGATAACCATATGTATTAGTTGAAGATAATGCCTCGTGTACAAGCACATAAGATAGCATTATAGAGATGGGATAACTGAATGTATTAGTTGAAGATAACGCCTCGTGTACAAGCACATAAGACAGATTTATAGAGATGGGATAACTATATGTATTAGTTGAAGATAATGCCTCGTGTACAAGCACATAAGATAGCTTTATAGAGATGGGATAACTATATGTATTAGTTGAAGGCTATACCTCGTGTACAAACACATAAGATAGCTTTTTAGAGATGGGATAACTGAATGTATTATTTGAAGATAATACCTCGTGTACAAGCACATAAGATAGCTTTATAGAGATGGGATAACTATACGTATTAGTTGAAGATAACGCCTCGTGTACAAGCACATAAGATAGCTTTATAGAGATGGGATAACTATATGTATTAGTTGAAGGTAATACCTCGTGTACAAACACATAAGATAGTTTTATAGAGATGGGATAACTATATGTATTAGTTGAAGATAACGCCTCGTGTACAAGCACATAAGATAGATTTATAGAGATGGGATAACTGAATGTATTAGTTGAAGATAACGCCTCGTGTACAAGTACATAAGATAGCTTTGTAGAGATGGGATAACTGAATGTATTATTTGAAGATAATACCTCGTGTACAAGCACATAAGATAGCTTTATAGAGATGGGATAACTATATGTATTAGTTGAAGATAACGCCTCGTGTACAAGTACATAAGATAGCTTTATAGAGATTGGATAACTATATGTATTAGTTGAAGGTAATGCCTCGTGTACAAACACATAAGATAGCGTTATAGAGATGGGATAACTGAATGTATTAGTTGAAGATAATGCCTCGTGTACAAGTACATAACATAGCTTTATAGAGATGGGATAACTATATGTATTAGTTGAAGATAATACCTCGTGTACAAACACATAAGATAGCTTTATAGAGATGGGATAACTATATGTATTAGTTGAAGATAACGCCTCGTGTACAAGCACATAAGACAGATTTATAGAGAGGGGATAACTGAATGTATTAGTTGAAGATAATGCCTCGTGTACAAGTACATAAGATAGCTTTATAGAGATGGGATAACTATATGTATTAGTTGAAGATAACGCCTCGTGTACAAGCACATAAGATAGCTTTATAGAGATGGGATGACTTAATGTATTAGTTGAAGATAATACTACGTGTAAAAGCACAGATTTAGAAAAGCGGGATATCGGAATGTGTTAGTTGAAGATAACGCCTCGTGTACAAGCTCATAAGACAGCTTTATAGAGATGGGATAACTATATGTATTAGTTGAAGATAATCGCGTGTAAAAACACATAAGGTAGCTTTATAGAGATGGGATAACTATATGTATTAGATGTAGATAATACCCCGTGTACAAACACATAAGATAGCTTTATAGAGATGGGATAACTATATGTATTAGTTGAAGATAATGCCTCCTGTACAAGTACATAAGATATCTTTATAGAGATGGGATAACTATATGTATTAGTTGAAGATAATGCCACGTGTACAAGCACATAAGATAGCTTTATAGAGATTGGATAACTGAATGTATTAGTTGAAGATAACGCCTCGTGTACAAGCTCATAAGACAGCTTTATAGAGATGGGATAACTATATGTATTAGTTGAAGATAATACCTCGTGTACAAACACATAAGGTAGCTTTATAGAGATGGGATAACTATATATATTAGATGAAGATAATACCCCGTGTACAAACACATAAGATAGCTTTATAGAGATGGGATAACTATATGTATTAGTTGAAGATAACGCCTCGTGTACAAGCACATAAGATAGCTTTATAGAGATGGGATAACTGAATGTATTAGTTGAAGATAACGCCTCGTGTACAAGTACATAAAATAGCTTTATAGAGATGGGATAACTATATGTATTAGTTGAAGGTAATGCCTCGTGTACAAGCACATAAGATAGCTTTATAGAGATGGGATAACTTAATGTATTAGTTGAAGATAATGCCTCGTGTACAAGCACATAAGATAGCTTTATAGAGATGGGATAACTATATGTATTAGTTGAAGATAATACCTCGTGTACAAACACATAAGATAGCTTTATAGAGATGGGATAACTATATGTATTAGTTGAAGATAATGCCTCGTGTACAAACACATGAGATAGCTTCATAGAGATGGGATAACTATATGTATTAGTTGAAGATAACGCCTCGTGTACAAACACATAAGACAGCTTTATAGAGATGGGATAACTAAATGTATTATTTGAAGATAACGCCTCGTGTACAAGCACATAAAACAGCTTTATAGAGATGGGATAACTGAATCTATTAGTTGAAGATAATACCTCGTGTACAAGTACATAAGACAGATTTATAGAGATGGGATAACTGAATGTATTAGTTGAAGATAATACCTCGTGTGCAAGTACATAAGATAGCTTTATAGAGATGGGATAACTATATGTATTAGTTGAAGATAACGCCCCGTGTACATGCACATAAGACAGATTTATAGAGATGGGATAACTATATGTATTAGGTAAGATAATGCCTCGTGTACAAGCACATAAGATAGCATTATAGAGATAGGATAACTATATGTATTAGATGCAGCAAGCTTGCGTTTTACCATACCTTTGTCTCGACCATTATTTGTGTTGTCAGATTGTGATGTTGCAGAACCTGATACCTGTATGAAAAGTGATAGACACGTACATGTTAGAAGTTCTTAATGTTTCACTTGATGTCTTGTTGCCTTTGATTTACATAGTGTAGCACATATTCCCGTGGACTATTTATAACACGGAATCAACAAAGGAGGGCGTTTCAAGGTGTCCATTGGACTCATGCATAATGTGATTATCTATTCTATCTATACTGTTTAGAGATGAATACGCATGATCAAAGGACTGCGTACATTCACAAGTTACTACCAGTGCATTGTGTGTATTTCTACCAGACCACAGCGGACAAAGAAATAAGAAGCATCATGGAAAATGTTAATGAAGTGATTTACATGGTGTAAGGGTCAAGTGGATACTGATATGACTGCAAGGGTAATCCTGAAAGGCCTTTATAGATACTTCCAACATCAGCATGGAGTTTCAGCATGAAGTGGATATGTGTAGAGCTTTAGTACATTTCATGTTCTCAACTCATGACAAGAACACATGGTATTCACCTTGCAACTGATTATGTAGTGTGTCGACAGAAACAATGTCGTCATACTTACGTCAAGTCTTCTCCTTTTCCTTTTGGAAGGCCCGAACTGTTCCCCAATTTCTTCGTGACCTACTGTTGATACCGCTGATGTACCTTGCACTGAGGTGACACGTCCTGGGAAGATTGAAGGTTGTCTGCCTGGTAAACCCTGAAACTGATGTCAGAGGCACAAGACTAGTGTTTCCATGCTGACAAATCTTATATTTGAATTCAAATTATCTTAGGGTACAGGTTAATGTCATGATTCAGACGTGGATTATAACACACAGGCGCGCGCACGCACACACTTGCTTTCAGTGTGCGAAATAGTTTCCAAATTTTGCTAGCCAGATGGGCTAGCTGTGCCTGAAAGTTACTAGCCCACAAAATTATTCACTGGCCCGAAATATGAATGTAGACACGGGTTTCATCATTAAGCTGCTAATATGATGAACAATTTTCATCAGGCCATAATCTTGATTGATTTAAAAGTGTATTATAACTTAACAAGTCGGAGAGAGTGATATACATGTGTCATAGAATATACTATGGTCACTCAAGCAGACCAATCAGGGAGACCAGTCAGGGAAACGAGACCAGTCAGGGAGACGGGGCCCAGATCATCGACACAAGCGGACGGATTGTGCGGCTAGTCGGGGCGTCGGCTAAGGCCGTCGCCTCACCAACGACTACGTCGACGATGAAGAATCACAGTCCGACTACTAAGTGACAGAGCGGGTCTCCACATCGGGAACATTGGCCACTCGGTACCGGTGTGCGTTCTGTCATGTGATTACCAACTGATGTACCATTTCAACCATTATTCCCCAACCATAATAAAAGATGGCTGCTGCTGTCTTCAACTTTGCTGCTGACTTCCGTCTCTTGTCCACCATCCTGAACTACCATCCGAGAGCTACCCCAACGGACGCTCTTGGACACATGTATTTACAAAATGACCCCATGAAAATTCACTAGCCAGTCGAGCCAGTGACTGTGGAGATTTACTGGCCCGACTGGATTTTTACTAGTCACGGGATAGCGGTCCAGTGGCTATTTCAAACACTGCTTGCTTTATTTGTCAACTAATTCAAATAAAACTGCGTCATTTTCAGAAAATATTAGTAATTCACTGTCAGTCTACATAGACAGTACTCACGACTTGAAACCCTGGTATCTCTATGTCTAGCATAGATAAGTCCGCCTTGTGGTTGGCCAGGTATTCCATCACAGCCTGCCACTCCACTGAAGAACAAAATTGTGTATATAGTGTGTATATGATGCATCACGTGCATGTACCTTTCCATAAATAATGCGTCATCAGAAATGAGTCATTGTCTCAAAGGGCAATAGTGGTAGTAGTAATAGTGACAGTGAAAGTGGTGGTAATTCTGTATGGGATATTCAGTTACATTTAACCGTTTCTAGAAACTGATTACACACCCGTGTATAATTTGTGGAGTTGTCCTTTTCTACGATCCCTGTCCTGAAACAAGAAAGATATGTAAATAACAATAGGACCCAATATATCTATCTACAACAAACGAAAGTAATGAGTATTACAATTAATTAATGATTATGAATGTTTTCAAGCATACAGTGTGTGGTCCAGTGTGTTTACTGTTGTGAAATCATAAACAATTAGAAAAGTCTTTACCTTCAGTAAGTTGTCCAGTTCTTGATTAAGTGTTTGGATCTCGTCCCAGCCTGCAAAGAAGCATCACCTATAGGTTTAATAAACCTGTTCAAGGCAACCTTTCAATATGTGAATGACCTAATTACTGTACCGAAATTTGCAGACACAAATGGCTGCTTAGGAAACACCCTGCAGCATTTCATCTTCAAACTAGATACAGTTGTTATTGCTGAATGTACTACTGGACAAGCAGAACTAACCGGAAGGACACTCATAGATACTTACGGCTCTCAAGATCTTTTCCATCTGTGTTCTGCATCTCAGTTTCCATATCGTTTATCTGGCATCCTTCCTTCCGTACCTGCTGAAAGGTATATATACTCATGCCAATAATGGTTGTCACCCCCTTCAATTTTTTATTGGAGGCATGGGGTGGGGGGTGGGGGCTGGGGTGGGTGGGGGCTTGTGTGACAACCATTATTGGCATGAGTATAGTAATGCTATCTGTGACTCTTTCTACATTCAATGGTATTAGTTTTCAGCTTTCTATAATTCTGATCTTGTCAGACTTCAGTTAAAGATAAGATACATCTTTCCTGAATGTGAAGCAATCAAAACATAATATTAAATATGAATAGAGATAAGTAGTCTGCAACCCTACTAGGAAGGAAGGGTTTTAGTAAGATACGTACTGAGATATTAGATTCCATTCCTGCATTCTCTGATTCAACGTGGAACATCTCTGAAACATGCAAAAACAAAGATTTTGTTGAAACTAACTTCATTCAAGATTGAGAGAGGGTGAATTGAGAGCAACGTGCTGTCATAATAAATCCAATTTGAATCCTGCTCCAAACTAAGAAACACAAACCCAACTTGCAACTTACCCATTTGTTGTTGAATGTTTGGACTTTCAACATGGCCAACCTAGGATAGAAATGAAAAGTTACCTCCCTTGATCTTAAAGTAACAAGTGGAATCAGCTGATCACGACAACTGCTTTAGTTTTTATGACACTGGCACAACGAATCTCGAGATTTGATATTTTAATCTTAAGAATAACCTCGGGTGCTATACTTATATGTGTCACAACTTACCATAGCAAAGCTTTGTTTCGATTCTGCATGTTTCCTTATCTCCAAAGCTGAAAGATCAAAAGTTCAAACAGGACCTACAATTCAGACTCAGATATTGTGAAAATGTTTTACAGCTGCTGTATTACACACTGCTTTAAAATATATCAATATCTGAACTCTCATTTCCTTTGGTACAATATATAATAGGTAGAAAAATAACTACATCCAGAAGGTGAATGGAAAGATAAAGTGCAGGTACACGAAGATGACAGAAACAGAATGATAGATGGTTAACTTGGCACCGAGGCACAGAATTTGTTGGAGAGAGGATAAAGAGAAGAAAAAGCATACATATTCTAGAAATCTGACGCAGAAGACATGGATGGAGAGAAGATGGTTGGACAAAGCTTCTGTGTTATATCGATCAAGAATGGAAGTTGGACCGGTGAAATGACGGAGGGACACTATCAAATCCGGCTGTATTTATTTGGCCACAGAGTGTTAGAGGCGTATGGTGATCATCTGTCTTATTACCAACACAACAAACCTTCTCTCAAGAGAACATTTTTAACGTCTTGATAGAACTGATCCGTTTTATCTTGGATAATGATCTGAAAAGAAATATATAGATTACTCACAATGGGTCTTTCATCTTCAGGCCTTGATGTCAGTCACTACTTTGTTTGCGATTCATATACAAGCTCTCTACAATTTCTTACCGATCTGAGAAGCGGGGCAAGATTTTTCCTTTGTCTTAGTCCGTCATGTAGGTCTGACAACCAAGCCTCTTGTGTAACAGACAGTTGCTTGAAACCACCCAAAGCTGAAATGAATAAGAGTAAATAAGTAACAAATTATCACTTACATCTAAAATATTCGTTCCAGATGTGACCACAGCTACTCACATGCATAATGACCTTTGCTTGCTGTAAGGAGACTTGGCTTGTATTCCAGACTATGGCGTACTTCATGAGCCTACAATGTAGCAAAGTGGTATAAACACACAATCACTATTTGATATACGTTATCACACAGACATATCTTTGTTAATATGTGTGCGTTATGCCCATGTCTTGGGACAGAGTTGTAAATGTAGAGTAACAATGTACAGTAAGCTGCGTTTATGACCAACACGTTTAGAACGAATTAACGGGTATAATGAACACCTTTAGAACGAACTAACGGGTATAACGAACTAACGCGTATAATGAACACTTTTAAAACTAACTAACGGGTATAACGAACTAACGTGTATAACGAATAAACGGATATAACGAAGTAACGGGTATAACGAACTTAAGGATATAATGAACAAACGGGTACAACGAACTGATTCGGTGGTTCCGGATGTTTTGCTCGAAATACGGACAGGAAATTACAGACTGAACGAACTAAAAAACTGGTCCCTTTAAGTTCTTTATAACTGTAGGTTATTGTAAATGAACAAGATTTGTTCCCACCACCTCTTAAGATGACACCCGTAAACAAAACAACATACGGTTATATGTACAATATAACAAAGCCATAAAATGTCAACACATCCAAAGGGAACTTACGGACATAGGTCCTGTTGAACCCAGCTTGAAACTAAGTATTTTCAGCACACTGAAGTCCCTGAGGAGTTCTTCAATCCGTTCCTTCCAGGATTCTGAAATGTTGTTAAAATAGAAGTATAATAATCATCACCCTAAACTAACTCATGCATGCATAGTTTGTACTAAAGTCTTACTATTATATTTGTTGAGTTTGTTATTTCCACAAGATCAGTTATTCATATCACCATAAGCTGCCGAATGAAAGACACTTACCATCAGATAATGCATCTGTTTGTGTCTCCATTCCTTCGATTTCCTTTACAAATAAAATAAATGTAAGCTGTTTATAATAGATAACTCAAGATCTGGAACAATACTATGCTAAAACTTTACATTGAGGGAACCTTTTAACCTTGCATTCAATCCAATTCCACAGCCATGTGACAAAACGTTCGATTTCCTGATAGCGAGTAGCTCATTGGGATGGAATTGACATTGCTCAACAGAACTCTGGTTTGGTTGGAACGCTAACATGTGGATTAGTGATCGTGAAGGTGAATCTCTGGGTGGAACCACATTAGCCATTCCAGACCCATATGCAAACTCATGAAAAGGATTTGTACATATGTGTTTAATTGTTTGTGTTGTAAGAAACATCTCTAAACCCTGACATGAGGATCTCATCATTACAGAAGGATACGTTACCATTTCTGCGTCAAATATTTGGGACTTCAGTTCCTTGATACCAGTTAGATCTGAAGTGAAGAAAGTCAAAGTCTTCAACAAACTAAAATGATTGTTTTGCATCACCATTACATAACCATTATATTTTAATCCAGAGCTGTTTGCTCTCGTTCTCTCCCTCGTCTATTAAAAATCCTCCTCTCTGACCTGACACGGTAGTGTGTGTAACAAAGAAAGTTTTGTATTTTATTACAATGTACTGCGCATTGTGTATTCAGAGTTCTACGAATGTGTAAATATACTCACAGGTTGTAAACCGCCAATTGTGGCCGCTTGTTTGTTCCATGACTGTGTTGGTTTCATCGACTATTTCTGCCTCAAGTAGTTGGGACTTCAGTTCTTTTACAGCAGTTGGATCTGAAGTGAAGAAAGTCCAAGTCTTCAACCAACTGAAATGTTTGTTGCATACAAAATGATTGTTTTGCATCACCAGTACATAAGAACTACTGTGGATATTCTAACCCAGTGATGTTTGCTCTCGTTCTCTCCCGCATCTATAAAAAAACATACTTTATGACCTGACATGGTAGTGTGTTTGTAACAAAGAAACAGGCTTGTATTTGATTACAATGTACTGAGCATTGTATATTCAGAGTACTTCCAATATGTAAATATACTTACAGGTTGTAAACCGCCAATTGTGGCCGCTTGTTTGTTCCATGACTGTGTTGGTTTCATCGACTATATTCACACAAGAAGACATGTCCACCATACTGAGATCCTCTGCTGCTACAGCTGATGGGTACACCGACCTGAAACCAGGTTTGTATAAAACTTAAGCACAGGTTTCAAGTAATCATTCAAATAATGGGGCATATTAAAGTAGAGGCTTTTTCCTGAGGACGCACTTACGAAATTCATATTTTGGGTTAGAACATTTGATAATTCGTGACTGGATACGACTACCAATGTTGCCAATGGCAATAACACCTAACTACATCCACTGACTAAATCAACAAACCTGAGCCTGTCCCTCTCCTGTCGTGACCTACATACAAGCAGAGTGTCCCCCAGTCTGTTCAGTCTCCTGGCCACCTCCAGCATCAGAGTCGTAGCTCCACTACCGGGCATACACTTGACCTGGACGTCCTTACTGTTGATGTTCTCCACCAGAATGATACATTGTTCTTTAGTGAGAAATCTCAGATAGTCGCCATCGGTGTCTCCTCTTTCTGCTTTCAGCACCGACTTCGTTTCAGCAACACCAGCCCAGAAAGCAGTGAGGACTTTTTCATACCTACTGGGAGTCATTACCAAAGAATCGTTTGTGACAAAATGAGAAGACTCATTTGCAAGCTTCTTCAATCGATTCTTAAATCCAACAGCGTCCTCAAGGAGAGAAATGGGAATGGCTCCATGGATTGAGTTGATATCCTCATCAGTGAACCTGCTTAGTGTCTCTATAACTCCTCTCGCCACTGACATACTGTATGTCACTGCTTCAGGACAGTCTTCATCCCCATCAACCAGTGACAAAACTATCACAGACTGTGTAGGCAGAGCCAGGAATACATCACATACAGCGTTGCTTGGTCGGGGCGATGTATAGAAATCTAACGCAACTGCTAAAGAATGAGATAAGAACATAAAGCATGGTCCAGCCTTTGGGTTTTGGAGATCTACTACTTCGTTGGTGAGAGGATCAAAAACAAAGTCGTATGCATGATTTTCTATGTGTTCCAAGAGTCGTTCTTTCACTTGTGCTAAAGGGGTCCTCAGTTTTGTTGGTGCAATACTCTGGCCATCTGAAAAAACAACCAAATTATACATCTCGATGAAAATATGTTCGTTACACATAGAATGGTCCTGTGCCAATTTTGTGACACTGCTTAGACACGAATATAACATAAAAGAATCGTAATGGGAAAGGAATTCTTCACTTGGGCAACCCAGATATGGAAGCTGATGTACTTGTGTATTTGGAGGGTACTGGAAAAGCCTTTTGGGGGTGCAATACGTCTAAGATAATCAGAATATCCGATTCAAATCCATTTGCAACATGAGCAAGACATTGCTACATGATGTATGGTTTGCTTCAACTATTGAAGACAATCCCAGAGTCTACGTCAACGATCTAAGTTTTACAATGATTCAGTTACCCTTTTCAATAAAGTAACTTCTGATTTCAAAGAGACTGTTTCCAATCTGTTTCAGGTCAGGACGAAAGATGTCATTTGTCCCAAGATAAAGATCCTGCTCATCCTCCTCTATGGTATTTTGCTGCAACATAAAGTAAAGGTTATAAATGTTAAATGAAACAGAGGGAAACAGTATTATTGATGACCTAGACGTTCAACAGTTTTCATCTCTTTAGGGAAACATTAATGGACTTGTGATTGTCTTTCATTTATGAATATAAGATGGTGTTTGCTTTGAGCAGCTTTATGGCTAGTCATTGTACCGATTATATATGCACTTACCAGAAGCTTCCACATCCTGCCTGCAATAATGAAAAGACGAGACATTAACAATATTGTAAAAATAAATTCCACCAACCAGTACTATACTACGTTCTCAGTAAGGATTACTCGAATATAACATTAGATCACGTAGTGAGGCACAATTCATTCACCTTTTCGCAAACACCTGACGTCACCTGTAACTGATAAGGATTCATAAACACATGCTCATGATAAAGTCGGATACATACAGCTTTTGTCGGAGATTTCACCTTAGTTTGTCAAAGATGATCAAGGACCAAATCTGGTTTATATTAACGTATGATAACAGTTGAAATATAGTTATGAGAATATGCATTATATCGAGGAAAAGATGTAAAGGAAACAAACATACAATTAGAATTCAATTAATACCAAATCTTCATGTGTCTGGAAAACGTTCGGTTCTTTTGACGTTATTTTCGTCATATGCCTTACAGCTGCACGATAACATACAATACAAGTCATACTCTGTACAAATTTGATTAACAATTCCGTAATTACGTTAGAAATCCAGAAGATGTAGTGCGAATTTGTGACCCAGGGGCATGTCTGAAATTTGTGATTGTATCGCTGATAATATCGTACATGCAGGTTTCACCAAAGCTATCACCGGACATCACGCTTATAAGCCATGTTTTATAGAAATTATGTCCAGCGAAGCTCACGCTTGTAAGCCATGTTTTATGGAACTTATGTCCAGCGTGGCTCACGCTTGTACATGTACACCAGGTTTTATGGAAACCAAATTTTCCTTTAAGTTCCGCAAATGTTAGAAAATCGCGGTCGTCACAAATATCTTTAATATAAACTACTCCACATTTAATCCAGTTATGAATGATCAAGCTTGGCTGGTTACACTGGTGATTTAGCCATAGTGGTTGCATGAGTATTTCATTAATATCGTTATTGTTACATACATCTTTTAACACATCTATGCCAGGCATCAAGAGAGTCTCTACAAAATGGATTTTTAACTTTATAGTGTTTTGTGATGTTGGCTGCTAGGAGAAGAAGGTTTTGTAAAGGGAAACCGGCGAGAGCATAGTTCTTAGATTTTGAAATATATCTCTTCAAGCATGAAAGTTTTAAAGAGTCGAGAAAGGTTTTCACATCGACCATTCTCAGACCACATTCTCCATACATTCGCACTATATTAATTCGTTTTATTTTGTCAATTTTATCATTCCATATAAATTTGAAGAATAACCTGTTAAAATCAGTAATAAATGTTTTTGGGGGATGAGGGAGAGATGAGAAGATGTGGACAATCGTGGATAAATCTAAACTTTTTACGACGGTTATTTTCCCTATTAATGTTAGATTGCGTCTTTTCCAATTCAGTAGAATTCTTTTTATATTTTGAGTCTCTTCTTTGTATTGATTACCCATAGGTTTTCTAAATGAGCATTTAATTTGATTCCCAATACGTCGAAATTCTCATTATGCCAATCCAGCTTATAGTCATGGGATAAAACTATTTTACTATCTGTCATTGAACCTAGCCATACTGCCATATTTATTTTCAAACCTGACATCTTGTCCAGTGAGAGCAAAGTTTTCATAGCTTCGTTAAGAGAGGTATCGGAACCGTCCAAAAACAATTCAGTGTTGTCTGCATATTGACCAATGTCTTTTAACACAATTCCTTTAATTCCGTGGTTGGCTCTGATCATTATTACTAATATTTCTGCTACCAATAAGAATAAATATGGGGAGATGGGATCACCCTGTCTACATCCCATTTCGTTGTCGAAAAACGTCGACAAGTGACCATTCTGTATCATACACGAGGATGCATTAGAAACCAATATGTTAACCCATTTTTGAATGTTACTTCCAAAACCAACCTTATCTAGGACCATCTAAATGCATGTTTTTACACGGTGTCGAAAGATTTTTCAAAGTCAATTAAGATAAGTAAACCTTTTATTTTGCCTTTTAGTTTCAAACATAATGTCACAGAGAAGTCTAATATTTTCCGTAATGCATCTTCCTGAAATGAATCCCGTTTAAGTTTCGTTTTTGAGAACATTCAATGTTTTTTAATCCTCTTATACAAGTGCTCATAACTTTATATAATGCGTTTAGGGGAGATATAGGTCGCCAAATCTTCAGAAATGTTCTATCTTTACCTGATTTAGGGATACAAGTAATTACTCCTCTATTCATTGTCATAGAAGTCTTGTTGAAAGTTTCTTTTATATATTGGTGAATCAAATTTTTCAGATTTATCCAGAAGTAAATAAAGAATTCGATAGGGAAACCATCTAAACTTTAATTATTTTTCATTGAGTTAATTGCATGCGAAAGTTCTTCAACACTAATGCCACGCTCTAGTTTATTTGACTGCTCTTTGTTTAAAGAAGGAATGGCAATATTTTCAAATACAGCTTTAATGTCATCATCTATGTCACAATTTGATTTATAGAGGTTTACATAACATTGTTTTTGTTCCACTATTATTTCTCGTCCATCTGCTATTTCTTTACCATTATCAATGATGAGAGAGTTAATAAGTTTGTTTGCATGGTTTGTATTCTTCAAATGACAAAATTAATTTGTAGGTTTATCCCCATTTCAAACCATTGGATTCTATTTCTAATTTGGATTCCTGTCATGTCTTCTTTTTAATTTTTCCAATTCATGTTAATTTTGAGATAAATCAGCAAAAAATGATCCATTAGCGTTTTAGAAGTTACTTCTTATTTCGTCTTCTATTCGACGTATGCTCTCCTCTAGTTCTTTATGTTTTGTAGTTCTGCTTTTCTTAAGATATGAAGAGTATGAAATGGATTTTCCTCTAACTTTCCAAAAATAGAGTGTCACTGATAGTCAAAGGTAAGTGTTCATCATTAATCTTGTTTAATGTCTGCGTATTCACGTTTGGTTTTATTAAGTAAGTCAGTTACTAGTATTATATATTCCTCTCGTCTCAATAAACTTCCAATAACCGCGTCCCTTTTCCTTATTTATAATAATCTTTATTTGCACTGAAAAGGCCACAGGCCCATAGTACATAAAGTTGTTTTAAACATATTTTATTCGAAAATGAAATGAATTGGGCACAAGTTATCCAACTTAGGAACGCCCTCTCCCAGAACTTACATATGTCATATTTACAATATAAAAAACATTGACAACAGGGATTTATGGAATGAATTTACAAGGTCTTTAAAGAGGTTGTGTATAATATATACAAGAATAAAACTACAAAAATCTTTAAGTGAGCTTAATATATATATACATGTTCAAATAATAATTCATTTTCATATAGTGATAGTGTAACATGACCAAATAACAATAAATCTAGATTAATGGGTATGCGATGTTTGACGACAGTATTTACATTAACAAACAATTCTTTACGCTGCGTTGTACACAAAGAACATTCTAAGAGATAATGCCATGAATTTTCACGAGAACAACCACAAGTACAAGGAGCATCTGATCTTGAATTAATTCTGAATAAATCGTAATTAAGCGGACTTGTATTGTACCTTAGTTTTGTGTGAATAATGTTCAGTTTCCTTGTACCAGACCAAAAGAGAGGTGGGGAGGCATTTATTTTACTTTCAATTTTCAACTTAAAACCTGCTAAAGAATCTATGTTTCTTTTTTCTATGGGAACATTGTTCCACATTCGTATAGTAGATGGAACAAAAAGATGATAAGGAAGTTTCAATCTCGTAAATGGAAGGGAGAAGTTTAAAGAGGTTATAAGATGATTTATGTCCAAGATATGTAGGTAGTAATTCCTGAAGGTATGATGGTGCAATATTGTGAAGAATCCTATAAAATAAGCAAAGTTTTCTTTTCTTCTACGTTCACTAAGGGTTTTCCAAACAGTTTCAAAATGCAAATGATCACGAGTAATATATTTTGGAAGTCCTGTCACTATACGAGCTGCTTCTAACTGTAACTGTTCTAAGGAGTTAGTTTGATTAGCTGTATATCCATCCCATAATTCACACGCATATTCAAAATGAGGACGATTGAAAACAGTGTAGATCTTATTTAGCGCTGTACTTTTTAACACACAAATAACTTAAACTTTAACTTTCTCATGGAATTTATCATTTTGGAGGTTTTCTGTAAAATATCAGTTATGTGATGAGACCAGCCTCCATTTGAAGATAATGTTACACCAAGATGTTTATGAAAAGGTACAGTTTTAATGTTACAGCCGTCAAGATTTAAATTGTCTAGCTTGTCACTATCTCTGGTAGAGAACAATACAGCTTCTGTCTTATCTGGGTTGTATTGAGTAACCAGTTCTTAGCCCAATCACTTAACGAGCTTAAATTTTCATTCATAGTTACTTGCAATGATTGCATTTTATTGGAAGGTGCACCGAGTGATGTGTCATCAGCAAACAATCTTGTTGCGCAACTTAATTCAACGGCTATTTCGATCACATACACAATGAAAACGGACCCAAAACTGAACTCTGTGGGACTCCGGCTGGTAGTGTTCTCGAATGAGATAATGTGCCATTCACAAATCTGATTGAGTACGTTTGCTTATTTAAGTAGCAAGCCAAGTTAGTAAGTTACCCTTAACACCATATATATCCAATTTCAATAAAAAGCCCTCTATGCTAGACACGATCCAAAGCTTTAGAAAGATCACAAAATACCATACAATAGTTTTCTTTGTTATCAAGCGATGTACATACATTGGGGTAAATTTCTATAAGTTGATGTACAGTAGAGTGGCCTCGCTGAAAACCAGCCTGGTATTTGTTATCAAGAAAGTAGTTATTAAGATGTTGGAAAACAACCCTTTTAAATATTTTACTGACACAACTGATTAGTGATATCGGCATATAATTAGATACAATTGAATTGTCACCTTTCGTAAATAGCGGCATAGCATGGGCCTTTTCCCAAACATTTGGGGAAGTACTCGATCGAAAGAAAAATTAAATAATAAACAAAGAACACTGTTTATAGAGTTAACAGTTTTCTTAACAATTGATGACTAATTTTATCTGGTCCAG